GGACAACAATGAGTAATGACCAGGGATAAGTAGAATTGAATCCAAGAAAAGCCTAGTTGTAACTTCTGAAACTTCCTCTGCCTTCCCAATGCAATTTGAAATCATTTCTATTCTAGGGTATGTGAGAAAACTCATTGCCACAATCACTTCAGTCTTAGGGGCTTTCTTTCCCTCACCCTCTAAAAATAACTCAGGAAGAGCATCTTAGTAATCCTCTGGTGAGATGTTTGTATTACATTACATCTAACTTGATCTACATGTAACTTTAGCTACATCTAGCTATTTGTGCTGATTCATGAATCTTTAAGAGTTAGTACAGCTCAAATGGCCCATTATACAGGTAAAGAAATTAAGGCCTCTGAGAGTGGAGTTGATTAACTTAGGATTCTAGTGTGAGAAAGAAGAAATGCTGGGATTATATATCAACATCCCCAATACATATTTAGTTCACTATTACCCATGCCCTTTCATACAACTCACCACTTAATAAAATCAAGTTATAGTAGTAATTTCCAGTCCATTAAGTGGGAAAAAAATTGGTAGAGAGTATGCATGTAAGGAAAAGTAGAAGAATATAGGGGGAAAAAAAGTTCAATTTAACTTTGTCCCCCAAGCTCACATATACTTTTTTTTTTTTACTTTTTTCAAATAATTTATTTTTATATACCAGGCACAATTTTACATTCAACATGAGACAAAAGTAGAGTGTGTTTCCAATTTAAGGTCATCCTAAGATAGGTCATGGTTTGAATTTTATTGGGGAGGGAATTAAAAACATGTGCTTGAAGTTGTCCATAAGACACTCACTGATTCTTTCAGATGCCTCATGTCTCAAGTCTGCTCAAGATCCAGGACTCTTTAAGCCACAGACATGACCATCCCATGTCAAAAATAAAATCTGAAATCTGATTTGTTTTTCTAGAGTAGTTCAGTAGATTGTTATCCCAATTTTTTAAAAAATGTATAAATCAAATATCATTTATGAGAACAGCTTCCACGATAGGGAAATTTAATGTTTTAAAGTTGAATTAAGGTAAAATATACATACTAGAAAGTACATATAAGTGGTTTGATGAAAAATCACAAGATGAATGCTTTTTGTAAGCAAAAGCAACACCTGGATCCAGTAAAAGCATGTTATTAGCATCTTTGTATCTTCCTGTCACTAACAAACTCTTCACCCAGTCTCCAGAGTAACCACATACACGCCTGTTTTGTACTGAGCAGTGAAATGCTGCAGTACGTCATTTCTGGGGCCTGACTTCTTTTGTTCAATCTTGTGCTTATAGGAATTGTCCAATTGTTACATGTTTTTGTAATTGTTCATCTATTGTGTGACTATAGCACCATCTATTTAACCATTCTAGTCTTACTGGCATTTGGGTAGCTAGCTTAAAGATTTCGGATTGTGTTGACTTGTTTGCAGACAATATTGACTCTAAAGTAATAAACTCCTTTTCTGAAGCGTGGTATGATCTACTGGGTGAAAATACTGGCTCACACCACTGAATTAATTTCCAAAACTTAGTTTGTTTTTTGTTGCCGTGTGTGTGTGTGTGTGTGTGTGTGTGTGTACATATACGCGAGTGTGAATTTACTATGTCCCCCAGCTCCCATCCCGATCCACTGCTTCCATTGACTCTTCAGTGGCCAAAGCCTGGGGCTGGCAGGAAGGAGCTTAATGCTGTATGCTCCAGTCAAAGTGAATGGTTGAATTATTGTGACATTAGTAAACAGGTAATTCATTTCTCATGTCATGCTCCTCACCTCAAGCTGGTTAGCCAAGCCTTTTCAAAAACCCCAACTTGTTCAACCTGCTACCAGTTACAGTCCATTTCAAGCTCCTCTGTATAAAATGCAATCTTGTCAAAAGGAAGACACCTGCTCCCAGCAGGAGGATTCTTACCAACTGCCAAGTCCTTTGTTACAGTGTCTAGAAACAAAATGATCTTTCCATCTGGAACGTGTCTGCCGCCATGTCTGCAGCCTTGGGTTGCCTGCCAGCCTCTGGTAACAGAATGAGGCAGAGAAACATGGGAAGAAGGCTCTGGAAAACGGATTTTGATCTTGACGTTTTGATTTCAAAGCTAATTTTCTCTGAGGGAAGAACATTTGCTTCCTGGGTGACCTCAATGAAATACATTTATTTCTAGGTCTGGTTTCGTCTTCTGTGACTCAAATTCTAGCTTATTTACCTCTTTTGGACTATTTTGACTTTTTAAAAAGCCTTTCATTCGTTCTCAGTTTTCTCTAAAATATTCTCTTTCATGGAAAACAAACTCCCGATTGAGATCCCGAACTTTCTTTGAGGCAGGAGAAGCCAGTGACCCCTGCTCTGCTTTACTCCCCTCTCCAACTGTGTGGGACTCTGCAGTCCTCTGCTCCCTCCACCTGGAAGGCAGTGGGCTCATGGACACATGCAGGTCAGTTCCTTGCAGTCTGGGCCATCACAGGAGGCTCCCCTTCTAGATGTTGGTGAACATTATGAATGAGTTCATTTGGCAGTTAATGGGATGCATGTGTTATCAAGCAGAATGAGGGGCACCCCAGACCCTAAAACCGCCTGCTCTAAATGGGTTCTGCCATCTGCAGCATCAAGACAGAACATACTCTAGTGCATAAGACCTTCAATGGAGGGCCTTGCTGGTAGTGCAAGGGGTTAAGCACAGCACTGTAAAGCTATCCGCAGCCTTTGCAGCCTGAGTTCGATTCCCAGCCAGCCAGGGAGCTACCCACATGGTGCAGCAGACCTCTCCTGTCTCATTTGCTGCTCCCCTCAGCAGTGGATTTAAGTGGATCTGCCTGTTCTGTTCCCCACTCTGTCTCTGGTGAATTCTCTCACCCCCCACACTTCTGGCCTGTACCCAGCTCTCATATGCATAAATAAATAAACCTAAAAAAAAAAAAAAGACCTTCAATGGAAAGAAACTTTAATACAATCTGTGTGATAGAGAGCAGAAAAGAATATACTTAGCATATAGTTAAAATAGTTTCCCTGTGAAGTACCCACAGTCCCCATCCCCTCATGGGTAAATGTCCAGCCAAATAGGGTTGGTCCAGGGCCTCCCCTGGTGGCATAGCAGTTGAGTGCTGGGTTGTGAGGCTGCCCACAGCATCTGCAGCGCCAGTTCAAGACCCGGCCAACAGCGAGGGTCCCACAAAAATAAAACAGAAAAAAACAAACAAAAAAACAAATAGGGTTGGTCCAAAGCAGCACTGCTGAGGCCAAAAGCTTGCCACAAATCTAAAGCACCTTCTTATGGGAACCCACATGAAAGGCGCAGAAGGGTCCAGGTAAGTCTGAGACAAAAGCTGCAAAATCAAAACCCAAGGGAAGGTCAAGTCTGCCATCGTCAGCCTTCCCACAGGACTCTTACCTACATCTGTTTCAAGTGTCTCCTTCCATGTCCCCCAAATCCCGGCTACAAGTCCAAGGCTGAGAAGCAAGAATGGCTTCCTCGCAGGTCTCTCTGCTCCCTGTGACTTCTCCAACTCTTCTTCTTGATTCCCCCCCACCCCAGTCTTCTCTCACCTCTCCTCCCTGCCAGCACCACCCTTCCTTGGGATGGGGCAGGGAACCGGGAACCTCCCCTTTCCCTGGGGGCTACCCTGTAATGAATGAGTTCTACTGCCAACCACCTTCCTCCTGATTGAAAATATCCAGCATACTGACAATTTTCAGTTGCTTGCTCCTCAGTCACAAGGGGTCAGAGGACTTCTGAGAAGCTTGGTTTTATTTCCATCTCCATGGAGTAGTGGCCAGAACAGAGCCACATACAGTAGATTTTTTTTTTTTAAATCATACATTAAAACGAACAATATACATCAACATAAAGGGAACATTTTAATTAAAATTTTAAATTGTTTTCAAGATAACCATTCTCTATTGAAACTCATTTAAAAGAACTTTAACATTTCACTAGGGACTATTATTTGCTATAATTGTTTTGGATGGGATAGAGGCCACCCAGTTGATGTTTAAGAGGATAATGAGGAAGAAAAATTTAACTAATTTCAAAGTGTTCTGTAGATTGTAAGGCACAGCAGAAATGTTAAGTATAGTTGTTTTAATTGACCCCAGGAATTAAATGCTTAAAAGTTGTCTAACTGTCCTTGGTCTCTAGATTGAGTGTAATTCTGAAAAGCAGCTACTAGCATACTACAAAACAGAGGCCCCTCCCCTTGCAGAAATCTGGTATTAATCTCGCCCTCTAAATTTATTTCCATTGAAGGTAAATAACGTCCCATGGGCTCCATCTTTGTATCCTATTTAATTAAAACAATACTAATCATCAACTAATCTAGCTCACTCTTAACAAACTATTGTATTCTAACAAGCCTGATTTTGTTTATTTGTTTTTCCTCCTTGAGGGGGAAAAAAAAACCAAAAAGGTAGATATTGGTTTGAGGTCAGCAAGGAGATTTATGTAAGAAAACATAACTACCAAGGGAATCAAACCGCCATTTAGCCATAAAGCATTTCCCCCTGCAAGCTCAGGAAGGATTTCCAATTATTTACAAATAGATAACATTGTGTAGCTCCCTCAGTATTACAGATAAGTCACCAGAAAACAGCTAGTTTGACAAAATTGCCCAGCAGCCCATTAACTGTACAGATCTGCTAAACGTCCACCATCGACATCCCTCTGTGGAATTTGCTAAGGAATCACAGTAGAATGAGTTCGCCACTAGAATTGTGGAAGTTATGGAACAAGAAGCAGGGAATGTCTTATTGCACCAACTGTTATCAATGGAGGCATCAGTCCTTGTGTGTGAGTGTGGGGGGGCGGGGGAAGGGAAGGGAGAAGGGAATAGAAGTGGAGGCAAAGGTAGGAGAGCAGAGGGGGAAATAAAATAGAAAGAGAAAGAATAAAAGGATGATAAATATCCTGGAAGAGTAAGTAAGTGCTCACAGATTCACAGATCTTCAAACTGTGAATGAATGTTTTATTAGCCTGCCCAGGGATAACCCAGTTTAGCGTTCACTAGAGAAAGCCCTTTCTTCTGGTTTATTTTTTGAAAGTGAAAAGTTATTTTCCTCCTCTTGATGTAGATAAATTTTTATTGTACTTTGGTACAATTGGGAAGGGCTTCAGCCTTACTTACTTTGATTTATTTGTTGTTTTAATTGAGCCCAGCAATTAAACATTAAAAGTCCTTGGTCTCCAGCTTGGGTGTAATCCTGAAAAGCAGAAAATAAATGTCTTTAGTTTAGCGACACTTATTTAAAATCCCACCAAGCAACAGTTTTGAAAGTTTATCTTTCATTTTCTGCTCTCTTAAGCTGCCTTCTCTTTAGACACGAAGAAAAGTCCAAGTCACTTCTGTGCTTGAGGGTTCTTGGCCTATTATAAAACAAAACTAAATTCCCAAATAAAAATTACAAAAGTGGATGCCATTTAAATATTTGCATTTAAAATATTAGCACTTTCGGCAGGAAATACTATTTAATAGAATTTTGTGATTCCAAGCAAAATTTGAGGATTTGCTTTTAAATTTAAGTTATTGTTACCTATAAGCTTTATGATCTAGTAATGGAACGAAAGTTTAAAATTTTTTGATGAATGTCATCTTCTTCCAATCTTTTTGGTTCATATCTGTAATGACCTATATAAATAACTTTATTTGGAGAAAATGTCAGAAATCTAAACTTCAGACTGTAACTGAATGGAGGGCCTGGCCACCAGGAACTCTGCCTAGTCCACACTCCTGACGGCCATCACCTCTCTTCATATCTACCTGTTTATGGAACTGTGAAAGGTCTGGGAATGGAAATGTAGCAGGGTGGTCCCCAGGAAAAGGGGAGGTTCTGGGTTCCTTGCCCCACCCAAGGGAGGGTAGAGCTGAGCAGGGAGTAGAAGCTGCTGCTGCGGAGGAGACTGGGGAAGGGAGGGAGCAGGATGGGGAGCAAGGAGACCTGGAGGAGGCACATGGAGCAAAGAGGCATGTGAAGAAGCTGCACTTGCTTTTCGGTCCTGGACTGGTTGAAACAGATGTGAGTGAGAGACCCGCAGGGAGGGTAACAATGGCAACGTTGATCTTGATTTTGCTCTTTTCCTCCCAGACTTGTCTGTTTCTGCCCCTTTCCTATGGGTCCCCACCAGAAGGTGCCTTAGACTCCTGGCAGGCTTTTGGGCCTCAGAGGCCCTGCTTTGGGCCAATCTTGTTTGGGTGGACATTTACCCATGAGGGGATGGGTAACTTCGGTGCTAGATTTGGAAACTATACTCTTCCCCCATATTGCACACTAATTGTATCAAATTTCCTTTCCATTAAAGGTCTTATGTGTTTTGTCTTGATGCAGCAGAGGGAAGAAACTATTTAGAGCAGGCAGGTTTGCCGGTTCTGGGGTGCCCCTCTCCCCAACCTGTAACAGGAAGTGATGAGGAAACAGGTGATTCTTGCAGTGGTTCTCAAAGGCAAGTCCACAAGCTATCACCTACTTCAGAATCATCTGGAATTCCCACTAGGAATTCAGGTTCTTGGGTCTCATTTTAGCCTCTCTGAGTTGGTATTTTTGGAATAGGTCTCAGGAATTTGCATTTTCTTACAATGCCTAAGACACTGGGGGATGGGCACAGACCTGTGAATTTCTAAGCTGTGGCAGCTGGATTGAGGGGAAAGCGTGAGGCCTGATTTCAGATGTGATTGAAGTTGCCACCCAGAAACACCACTCTGGTTCCATTCTGGGTGGAAGTGCCACTTTATAGTAGCTGAATTTTATCTCTTACCTCCCATTATTGGGGTCACCCAAAAACTCTGGTGGCTTGGCAACCACTAGCGACATTGAGTTAGCTGATCTTCAAATCTATTTTTTTTAAAGATTTATTTATTTTTATACAAGAGCTGGGGTACAGGACAGAGGCACAGGAGGGTGAGAGGATTCACCAGAGACAGAGGGAACAGAACAGGCAGATCGACTGAAATACACTGCTGAGGGGAGCAGTAGGTGAGACAGGCGAGGTCTGCCACGGCATGTGGGACTCTCGCTGGCCAGCTAGGATCAAACCTGAACTGCAGAGGCTGTGGACAGCTTCATAGCGTGGTGCTCACCCTGCTGCGCCACCGGGAAGGTCCCTTTTTTTTTTTTTTAAATCAGTCTGGTCCTGCTCTTGTGATGAAACACAGAAGCGGTACTCTGAGCCAAGGAGTACCTATAGGTTCCTTACTGGTAGGGACGTGCAGATACTCCTATAAAGCATATAAACCTTTCCATTCCCTAAAAGACGCCAAAGAACCATGAAAAAAACTGCACTTCACCACATCTGGAAAGAGTTTGCTCTGAAATGAGGGCTCACAGGGAGGTAGAGGTAGCATAGGTGAAGTAGGCCTCTCCCACTCCAGAGCAGGCCCACTGTACTCGCTCTGCTTAACTCAGAGAATTTATCTGATAGAGCTCTTCCTCAGGACACAGCTCAGCCACCCTCCCCACGGCTGCACATCCCCCCACCCCCCACCTTGCGCCTACCCCCACACTGTGTTTTTCTTGAATACACAAGGAAGATCATAAATGGGTAAAAAAAATGCCTGGTCTCTTCCCATGGAAAAGAACCTTGAAAGAGATCAAAGAGAAAGACCTGATCAGGCCCAAGGCCTGTTTATAAAGAGGTCCCCGCACATGGCTTTGCCACCCACACTGGGCCTTGTAGTGCAGCAGAGGGTGCATCGCATCCCTGAATGAGAAAAGGGGGTGAAGGCTACAGGTAAAGTTCATAGGGCAAACTATATAGCATTGAATGTGTTAGTTGCCAGTCTTCAATTAACAACAATCAGTGATATCATTTGCTAATTAACCATTTCTTCGGATGGAAGACTTCTTCCTGAGCCTGGGCTCCTTGAATGTAAAAAACACAAAAACTAGTTCTTTGAACCTAGATAAGTTATACATTTCACAAGTATTTTTATTCTGAAGGTTACATTTCATATTAGAGAGAAAGATTTGGAAAAAAAAAAAAAGAAGATCTGGGTTACTGCTGAAAGTTATTTATTCCTACCAAAGTCCAGTACAAACGTCCTCTTTATGAAGTCTTCTAAGGGCACTCTCTCTAGCCAAAGTCAACAGCTCACTCCTCTGTATTTGGAAGCTTGGATCTGGTACCTCTTTTCAGCATTTACGTCCCCCTGCCTTATAGGACAAGTGATTTGTGTTGTCTCCTCACAGCCTCCGGGAGCCCATGTCATCTGTGCTTCCCCAGGGACTTTAGCACAATTTGCAGATAGCAAGTGCTCATGAAATAGCCACGAATGTTCACAGTTTTACAACTGAAACCATAAACTGGGAGGCCATAGGCCAGGAACATCTTTAAAATTTGACCTAAAGGTCTGTTGGCAGATTTCACATAAAATCTGGCATGTCTGGCTTTCCCACGGCCCTCCGTAGCTTGAACAAAGTGGCATACTCTCTTCGATTTTCCTACTTGCTTTTCCTTCATTTGCATTACCTCCCTGTATCTGTGGACACCCGTCTTACAGAGACATCAAGGTTTACCTTCTTCAATGTTCATGTGGATTAAACGCCTCCATGAACCAAGGGCTAGATGATTGCCTGGATCCATCATTTATGGGCCAACTGCTAAGTAATTAATTGGTTTGCAGTACTCTATGATCTGATTCCATTTTTGAGGTGGCAAAATATAATCTGATGCTATTTTGGTTAATTATTTAAGTCTATATGACTTTGTGGAATACTAATCAAGCTTCAATCTGAGATCAGTACAGATAAAATTTATATAAACAATAACACTTAACTTTCATTGTCTGAGTTTTCATCAGTGTAACACTTTTATATTCTCTCTCCATAATTATTCCTAGGAATTCACACAATGGGTTACAAATTGACTCTGTTTTCTCACCCTGAGTAATTTATTTCCAACTTTTTCCTTGACCTGCTCCAGCCATTTTCTTGATTCCATTGTATGATTTCTAACACTGGCCTCCAGGTTACCAAATGCAGTGGATATTTTTTCAGTGCTTTTTGTATGTGATCTCTTTGTGCTGCTTCCACTATTGACCAGGTTCTATTTTTCTTAAAGCTCTGTTGGCCTTTGGTCACTGTGATATTACACTCTTCCCAAATGTTAGCTGGCTATCTACTCTTTGTCCAAAGCCTTTCCTTGTATGTTTCCCCCCAAATGATGATTACTATTTGAGTTCACCTGGTCCCGCTTTTCTTTTCTTCAAATTTCAGGTATTCTTCCTAAGAAGCATATATATGTCCTCTACTTCAATTACTACTCATATGCCAATGATATAAAAATATGTTTATCACAATATCTTTTCTCTGGGTTCAAGACCATGTAAATCATTTTCTGCACAACATTTTCACTTGGATATCTCAAGAGATTCTCAAGTTTAATTTGTCCAGAAAAAAATTCACGCCCTTCCCTAACTGATCCTCTTCCAGAGATATCTATTCAGTAACTATTACAACCATCCAGGTATGTGTGAGAAAACTGGAAATCTTCTCTCTCCACTACCTCCCCACTCTGTGGTGTCCATCACCAAGCCTTAATAGTTTGCCCAAATGCTTTGAGTCTGTATATTTGCCTTCATCTATGTCATCCCATCCAGTCCAAGCCACCATAATCTATCAGCTAGACAATTTAGATTAATTGCTTGCTTCCGGTTTATTTATACATAAAGCCAGAGTAATCCCAGTGCAGAGGTGACCAAACTCAAAGGATCCTTTTGTGGCTTCCCATTGCTTGTAGAGGCCAGAGTCATTGTAAAGGTCGTGCACAGTCTAGCTTCCACCTACTTCTTTAGCCTCAGCCATCAATATCCTTCCTATACCCTCTGCATGCCAACCATCCCAGACTCCCATACCAGTGTTAAGTGTTTTGTGCTGCTTCCCAAACACGGCCTTTGCTCATATCCTTCTTTCTGTCCACACACCTCTTTCTCCAAACTGCCCCCTTCCATGAGTTATTTCTATTTCTTCTTCAGAGGTCAACCCAAACATCACTTGTCCAGAAGGCCTTTCTTGACTCCCTTTAGTATATCTTCTCTTTAATGACACTAATTACAGTTTGTAATTGTAAATTCATTTTTGTGATTCCAATTAATATCTCACACTATAGCGCTGCTCATCAACCCCAAGCAATCTCATTAGCTCCTATGTATGCAGGGGATAAATTCATATATATTGTTAAGAGGGTAAAACATGTTAGTTATCAAATTATT